GCAGTGATGTTACAACCGCAAAGGATTCTGGGTGGGCATATGCAAATTAGTTTAACAAAGAATCACATTTTTGCCTCATTCCATTTTAAACATGGATTCCTTTTAATTTGTGTTTGCAGTATACAACTGCTTGGAACACAATTTAGGATAAGATGCAAAACCAGTGAACCACTCATGGACAGCTGTTTCGTTGTTAATGCAACTCTTCAGCATGAGGTTGGTTACTGGTTTGCTTATTGAGGCTTGGTAGTGCTTGGGAAGCAAAATCTAAATAGGTTATGGTGGGGAAAAATTGTGATTGAAAACCCCTTCCACCTGAAGTATGTGGATAGTTAATACAATGCTAAACAAAAATCTGCACACCAGTCAAGCCATAAGACTTGCTTTTCCCACAGAAATCCCAAATCAGCAGTGATGTTACAACCGCAAAGGATTCTGGGTGGGCATATGCAAATTAGTTTAACAAAGAATCACATTTTTGCCTCATTCCATTTTAAACATGGATTCCTTTTAATTTGTGTTTGCAGTATATATATATACGCGGCGTGTGCTTGTACTTTAGGGTGCACACCCTAATGCAATAGGCTGCGCACGCCTATGGTCTGTTCATCCACCCATTGTAAAGCGCAGTGGAATTTGATGGCGCTATATAAATAACATAATAATAATAATAATAACGTCACATATTACAACTGCATTGAGGTTCCTTCCATTAGCGCAATAGGCAACCAATCAGAAATATCAATGGGAGACATCAAAGTCAATTTGTTAAGTTTAATGAATGTAAAGTATTGTTATTTTTTCTTTTTTTCTTTTTTTTACTAATATATCTTTTTGGTAAAAAAATATTTCAGGCATCATATAATATATATGTATATTTTTTATAATTAGCCTTTAGATTACAAGCACTTTTGAGTAGTGCCCTGTTCACCCCTTACATCTGTAAAAATGTTGTCTGTCAGTTACTAACTTTTATATATCCCTGCTGTATAATCGTAAAGCATTGCAGAATTTGTGCAGTATATAAATGCTAATAATAAGTGCAGACAACGTACCTAAGAGTTTTTAGAACTAACTAGTAATGAAATGTTAAGAAACATATTCGTGATTTTTCGCTAAACTTCTGAAGAGGAATTTAATAAATTCTCCAATGCAGCTATTTTACCAGTTTATTGCGACCTAAAATTGAAACTCTGCATGTCATTTTTTTCAATATTCTTCAACATTGTTAAAGGGGAACACAGAGTACTTCATCCCTACCTTGCTGAAGAAATTAAGTCATATGAACCCCTTAAATACACAGCTTTAGAGGCAAAAGGTGAGCATGTGTCCTGAAGGGGTTAAAGTGGAAAATATGAATCTTTACAATATTTAGAACCATTGATAAAGAAATCATCAATGGCTAAATACAGCTTAACCCCTTAAGGACACATGACACGTGTGACATGTCATGATTCCCTTTTATTCCAGAAGTTTGGTCCTTAAGGGGTTAAAGCATTTGTCACACACTAGCACTTTGATAGAGATTTTAAAAGGATATACTAGTAAGTACAAAACACATATGACTGTCTTCCCCTTCCTCCCGTTTGCCATCTGATACTCATGGTCTTTTATATTTTTTTCAATGATCTTTACAGGTAGAGGATTTCTTCTTGTTTCCTCATTAGGAGGTCCAGCAAGGCATTTTTTTAATTTCCATGAACTGCAAGAATAACACACTCCAGTAGGATCCTCCAGAATTGTAAATATGGAGTAAATTCAATAATGTTTTTATCGTCATACACACACTTTTTATGTACATGAATTCCAGAACACAGTTACCTATACAGGCATTACTACATAAGAGACAGCATGTATAAAGTATGGATTTTCCTCACAATTGACTGATCTATTCTATACATTAAATTCAACCTCCTCCATCTCATATGGTTAGAATGAATTAACCAATGTATTCCTTAACAACTTTCAAGGGCGATGATGTTCTAGTGCCCTCTAGTGGTTTCATTTACAATGAACATCCTTTATACGAACAAAGGAGGTAAAAACTTGTGAGCCAGATAGGCTGTATTAGTCAGTGTTAATTTTGGCGGCAAATTTCAATTTCGTTTTAGTCATAGTCTTTTGACCAAAAAGTCATTTTAGTTTTAGTGGTATTTTAGTCATCCGAATTGTTTTAGTTTTTAGTCTAGTTTTAGTTGACTAAATCTCCAGTAGATTTTAGTCGATTAAATATACTGGAAATTTTAGTCGACTCGACTAAAATCTAATGGTTTTAGTTAAAGCCTCTATCTGTCTCTCTTGCCCTTTCCCCATCCTCTGTGTGTCTCTTGTGTCCTCCCAGCCCCTCTAGGTGTCTCTCTCCCAAACCCCAGTCTGTTCTCTTTTGCCTCTTCCGTGCAGTGTTAATTTTGGCGGCAAATTTCAATTTAGTTTTAGTCAACGTTTAATTGGAGATATTTCCAGCTGTTCTTTATATTATCGAAATGGTGAAATGTTTATAGATTTTGTGCTGTAATGTCTCTTCATCTTTCTCAATGTTATGAGTTTTAATCCATCCACCTAAAGGGATTACTTAAAACACAGGCCGTGAACTGGAGATTTGAATCTAGAATTTAATACAAGGATTAATAACTAATGTCCAAGAGTAATGCTACCTACGAAATAAACCTTGCATTCATACTTTACATTTCAACAGTTTTGAAAATTTTTGACAGTGACCCAAATGATGTATATTACATGTGCAGGGAGGCTCATTATTTGGTTGTAGAATTAACTTTTTTATTCTGTGTGATGAGGGAAACGGCTTTTAGGGATAAACTACATTTCCCATAAAATACTGCTGTGCAGGGGTTTATGGGATACGAGTAACTCCATGATTGGTTAAACAGTGCACAGAGGGAAATGTTAAAGGTATGTATTGTTTTTCTTATTTTATTTTTAAATACAGGCAGCATGGATATCATAGGATCCTAAAAGAGAAATTCCTACATGGCAGGAGGATTTATTTGACTGCTGAACCAAGTGGTAATTTAACCTGGGACCTTTGTGAGTGGATATTGAGTGACTTTGGAGCCTTTAGAAAAGCGGTATTGAATAAGAATTATTGCAGATTCTACTTGTAATTTATTGTAAGAGGTTTGGAACAGATCATGTTTATGGGACATCATGAAGATACAACAATAAGATAAAACAATACAACAAAAAATGAACACCGAGCGTTGGTTGAATCTCAAGATGATACACTGATGTTCCTGCAAATAATTCACAATCAGAGTAACAGGAAAATATGTCCAGTCCATTAAATCAGATGACATTGTGGCTTTCTATGATTAACATTTAAATCAAGATTGAATATTTGAAAGTGCATCATCTTATTAAGGGGAATATGGATTCCATAATAATTCAGTCGCAGGTTGTGGGCCCCAGAGGGTTGACAATTTCACATGAAAGTGGTCATTTGTTCCTTGGCTCTAGTCAACCTGCCATATTGATGAACTGGTAGAACCTGCCATACTGCTGAATATGTAGATCAATTTAATCCAGCATATGATTTGCTTAAATGAAGGAACTTTTTTAGCTACTCAGTGTACATAAGACAGGAGCATGTCTGGGAATTATCCTTGGGAATAAAATGCATTTGACAGGGTTTCCCACGAAAATAAGACATCCCCGAAAATAAGCCCTTGCCTATTTTGGGGGGATGCTCCTAATATAAGCCCTACCCTGAAAATAAGCCCTAGTCATTCGCTAATCTATGTTTGGGGAATTTTTCCTGAGCATAGTTTCGCGGAATTCCATTCGCAAGTAAGCTTATCTATGTTTGGGGAAGTTTCACCGAACATAGATACGCAAGATTCCATTCGGGAATAAGTTTGTCTATGTAGATATGCAAGATTCCATTCGCAAGTGAACTAATCTATGTTCGAGGAAGTTTCCCCGAAAATAGATTTGCGGTATTCTATTAGCGAGTAAGCTAATCTATATTCGGGAAAGTTTCCCCGAGCATAGATTTGCAGGATTCCATGCTCTAGTGAATTGGTCTATGTTCGGAGGAATTCTCCTGAACATAGACCTGCTTTCTACCACACGTTTTTCCACGAAATAAGACCACCCCCGAAAATAAGCCCTTGTGCATTTTCGGGGGGGGGAGGGGAAATGAATATAAAACCCGGTCTTATTTTCGGGGAAACACGGGTAAGTGCTTTATTTGTGGTGGCATACCTTGTGTTGACTGTGACGACTGGCATTAAAATGCAAATATAGAGAATTGTGGACCAGTTCCTTCATTTCAATCACATGGGCTGGTTTAATATGGATTCCAGACAAATTTCATCTTGGCAGGAAAAGAGCTGGTGATTAGGCCTAAAGAATGTCAGATATCTAGAGCAACATAGGAGAGAAATGAGGGGAAGTAATATGGGATAGTCAGAACAGATTGAGGTTTCAGTCTGATTTTTCAGATCAATGAGAATCCAGCAGAGTGTTTTAAAAATGGAGCATCAGATGCGAAATTTTCAAACTTATGTATTAGCTGGATACTATATTAAACTATGCTGGTTAATCAACATTGAAATGTTGGGAATTCAAAGTGAATTTAAGGTTTTAACTCAAACTAGCTAAATTGGAAAAAATCAACTATGTTTTTAGTTTTAAAAAAAATCTCCCAGATTGTAAAAAACTAAAATACAGTGTAAAAAGCAGTTATCTATTAACAACAAGCTTGCAGTACCTTTATTTTTTTTATACATTGCTCTTTAGAGTCTAATGGTTTTATAACTATTAGTGATCCTGTTCTAAAGCAGTTTTGCTGAAACTTTATGAAAAGATAATTATCGAATGTCCTCAGGCAAGGTTTGAGACAATTAAGCAGCACTATTTGAGCCTTAAAGGCACATTCCAGGTACCATAACAACTTAATCTTATTAAAGTTGCTATGGTGCCAGGAAACCACTGGGCGCTCAAGGGAATAAACCGTTCTCGAATGGTTTAACCCCAAAGGTGCCTCCAGCGCTGCTCTCAACTACCCCAGTTGGAGGTGGCATCCGGCTTCTGAAATTTCAGTTTCAGGAATCGCATAGTGCAGCTGATTGACTAAGAGTGGTCCGCTGACGCTCTCAGTCAATCAGTGACTTGCTATTCACAAAACTGGCTTGGAAAGAAATGTACCTTTTTCAAGCAAGTCTTGTGAATGGGAAATCACTCATTGGCTGAGAGCGTCAGCCACATTGGACGCAATTTTGGGGTTAAACTGTTCAAGAATTGTCTAGGCCCTTGAGGTAAGAGTGCGCCGGGGGCCTCATGACACCATAACAATTTAATTTAGATGAAGTGGTTATGGTGCCTAAACTGTCCCTTTAATTATATTATAGTTCCACACAATATAAAATAGACATAAATAGAACATTGTGTACAACCAATGGGAATCAAGCAGATTAGAGATTCCATTGGTCATAGACTGCACACAAATCTGCATAACCATTGTCACCATAAGTTCTGCAGCAACCATCCAGCCATGTGGCATGTATTCACATAAAAAAAGAATATGACATTTTCATATATATGCCACATGTGTTACCTGATTCCAGCACATTCATGAAGTGTGGCTTCATTCATCTAGCTTTAGAGCTATCCTTTGCTCTTCACTTTTTTTGTGCATTTTTCACATATATATAATGTTGGATATTTTTAAATTTTTTTAAAGAGGCAGTCTAAGCTCCACAACAATTACAGCTCATTGAGATAGTTATGGTGCTAGCAGGCTGTGTCAAACTATTTTTTAACCTTTTGACACAAACCAATGGTTTCCACATAACCAATACCAATGTCATTGTATCTTATTGGCAGCAATATGCTGAGAGTGTTAGCTGATATGTTCAGCTAATCGGTGACATACAAATATGGATGGATTTGATATTGCTAAAACAAAAGTGTATATTCTGTGTTAGCAATTTAGGCAGCTGGGGGCAGAAAGGCAGGTTTTGGACTACTTGCAAACAGTTTAACACATAACAGCAGGACAGAGCCATGTGGGATCATAACCATTACAGTGGGCTTTAGTGGTTATAGTGCTTGGACTGCCCTATTAAATACATTAGACCTACCCTATATTTTTTATTATGCTGAACATTATCTGTACAAAAAGCACAGTGATTTGACATAGTTCCCTGTATCATGCTTTTTGTGTTGCCTTATGTTGTTCTGTCGTAGTTATACAGTGGAATATTATCGTAGGCGTAAGATTCTGAGTTCTGCTGTAGTTCCTTGGCAGTGCGCCGAGCCTCCCTGGCAATCCTCTGGAATCGGCGGAGTGAAAGAATAACAAAAATAAGTAGGATTCCTTGAACAGCAATAAAGATAAAAAGGCACAGTTGGGAGACCATTGCCAAATTACAGTACCAGTATTGGCAGGTGGTCATCAGTTCATCCTCAGTCAGGTACATGATGACTCTACTCTTGAATTGCTCTGGGGTAAAGCAGGTAACATCACGGTACAGTTCTCTTTTCTGTTGCGCTTGCAGCCAGCTGCGCAAATATAGGATATTACAGTCACATTGCCAGGGGTTCTGTTGCAAATGCACTTCCCGTAACTCAGGAAGACGGTCAAAGAGACCATTTGGGATGTTTTCGAGCTTGTTGTTGTTGAGAAGGATCTTTCTTGTAGATGGTTGGAATGAGGATGGTAGGGATTTTGAGCTGAGGTCAAGATTGGTACAATCCACAATACCAGAGCCACAGCGACATCCAGAAGGACAACAGGAGGTTAAGGGAGGCACAAGCAGGAACACGGGTATTAGCCAGGACCAATTCTTCATCTTCTTGTCTGAAAATGATCAAATATTAATAAGAGATAAGTAAGATGAGTAAGAGATTCCAAAAAGATGAGTAAAGTTAAATGAATAAAAATAAATAAAATTAGTTAAAAAAACAAAATGAATAAAAGATGAGTAAGAGATTCCAAAAAGTTATTTCAGTTAATTCTTCAAGCACTGACCTTACTGCTCATAATTTTGAGCTTAATTTCACAAAAATACTAATTCTGTGATTTTAATACTCAAGACTAAAATGATCAGGCTTCTATACAAACAATTCTTAGACCAGCTCTTAAGATCCATCAGCGTCTGTGGTCCTATTAAAAACATTATTTGAACATTGAATCTGGGACAATGATGTCTCTGAGAATTTTTGTCACTATCATTAGTTTGGATATTTTTTCTGTTCCTGTTACCTGCCCTCCACTATTTCTAGGGTTAGAGTTAGAACAATAATTGAGTGAGGCTAAATAAGTGCCTAAGAAATGTATAGTTTAAAAAAACATATACCCAGGGGGCGCCACAATCACAACACGTGCATATATTTACCATAAAAATATGGAGATGGACATGAAAGAGAAAATAAAGAGCACATATAGTGAAGTATTTAATAACAATAAATTACAGAAAAAAAATCACAATATACACTCACAAAAATGATGGCACAAAGAGACATATATCTCAAATTGTGCAAAACCGCTTTTCAACACTGCTGGATGCAGTTCCCTTTCGTAAGTCCACTGTCAATGCCTCCTGGATGGAAAGTCCCAGGCAGAGAAAAAAATAAAATCTTTTTTCTGGGAAGTGCTGGCAAGCCTCTGCTCCTCTGCTCAACGCGTTTTGTCCGTCGGACTTTTTCAAGAGCTGTATTTCCTTTGATTGCTTCTGTCTTTTTAAATCTTCATTTTCGTGCGTTTCTTTCAGGTGCGCGCATGCGCTTTACGGCAAACACGTTGCCGCGCATGCGCGCCAGTCCATCCTGACACGCAAAACCAACTTTATTGCAATCCACCTGTGAACAATGCGGCACGCGTGATCGCTACACGCTACTGCACATGCGCACGGGAAACTTAAAACAAACTTTATTTATACATATGATCAAAGACATAGTAAAATACACAATAAAAATCACTAATAAACCGAAAAAATACGTCACATAAATAAATAATTAAAAATCCTTTTGGTAGTGAGTCTATTTTCAAGCAATCTGTTTGCAAAGAGAATTTAAAAGGCAAAGGTTAAAAATAAACATTTTCTTAAAGAGACTTCATCTCTTTTTACAGTAACCAATTGTTTCTTTTCAAAGAGATATCCCTTAACAAGGTTACCCCTAATAGGGGTCTCTAAAATAGGGGAACATGTTAAAGGCACCAAAGAATGATAAAATAGTAAAAAAATAAATAAATAAATATACATACATATATATATATATATATATATATGGCAAGAATATCAAACGAAGGAGATAAATAAAATAAATAGTATATATGGAGGAGAAATTAAATAAAATCGGGGGAATATTAATTGCATCAATCCATAAAAACTAATAAATCTATATCAACATTTAAACCACTTGGAGAGGAGGTTTTTAACCTATGGATCCACTCGGTTTCCTTCATGTCCAAGGTTTTCTCAATATCCCCTCCTCTCCAATGGGGAGTGACCAAATCTATTCCTATACATGTAAAATCCTTGAAATTAAAATAGGGACAATTTAAGCAGTGTCTAGGGACACAATGTTTCATATTTCCTCTTTTAATACCATTGAAATGTTCCAGGATTCTAACGTGCAATTTCCTTTTTGTTCGTCCTACATTTTGAATACCGCATTTGCATTCTAAAAGATAAATAACATTTGTTGTTTGACAGTTTATAAAATGTTTCATTTTGCATATTTCTTTTGTCGCAGTACCCTTAAATTCCACAGTCTTTTGTTTCTGAAATTTACATGTACTGCAGCTTCCATATCTGAAGAAACCTTAAGGTTTCTCCCTTAAAAAATTATCTGTGGTTTTATCTGGAAATGTTATCGTTTTTACGGTATTATTACGAGGTAAAGTGCTCGGTGTTAGGATAGACTTCAAACTCTGAGTCTTTTTATAAATAATCTGTGGTTTAGTAGGTAAAATATTTTTCAAATACTGATCCTGCTTTAAAATGGGCCAAATTTTTTTAATAATTTTCTCTGATTAGCTTTATTATTGTATCTTGTAATAAAGCACGTACCCAAATCTCTATTTTTCTTATTAGAAGTTTTTTTGTTATCAAAAGATTTCTTATTACTTTTTAAAAGAATGGTCCTATCTTTATTATCTAGTTCTTTTTTAGATTCATCTAGCAATTGAAGCGGGTAGTTTCTATTTTTAAATTTTTCGTTAAGAATTTCAACCTGTTCATTAAAATCTATTTTGTTAGTGCAGTTCCTCAGGAGTCTTGTTTGTTGGCCTTTTGGTATATTACGTAACCAATTTGAATGGTGACAACTGGAAAATTCTATGAATGAATTACCATCAGTAGGTTTAAAAAATGTCTTGCTACAAACGACTCCTTCGGACACAAACAAAGAAAGATCTAAAAAATTGATAGTCTCAATATGGATATCAGCCGTAAAACGTAATCCATAAGAATAATTAATATATGTTAAAAATTTCTCTAGCCTAGATCTATCCCCCTCCCAAATAATTAAAATTATAGATGAATCTAAAAAAGAACTAGATAATAAAGATAGGACCATTCTTTTAAAAAGTAATAAGAAATCTTTTGATAACAAAAAACTTCTAATAAGAAAAATAGAGATTTGGGTACGTGCTTTATTACAAGATACAATAATAAAGCTAATCAGATAGAGAAAATTATTAAAAAAATTTGGCCCATTTTAAAGCAGGATCAGTATTTGAAAAATATTTTACCTACTAAACCACAGATTATTTATAAAAAGACTCAGAGTTTGAAGTCTATCCTAGCACCGAGCACTTTACCTCGTGTTAATACCGTAAAAACGATAACATTTCCAGATAAAACCACAGATAATTTTTTAAGGGAGAAACCTAAAGGTTTCTTCAGATATGGAAGCTGCAGTACATGTAAATTTCAGAAACAAAAGACTGTGGAATTTAAGGGTACTGCGACAAAAGAAATATGCAAAATGAAACATTTTATAAACTGTCAAACAACAAATGTTATTTATCTTTTAGAATGCAAATGCGGTATTCAATATGTAGGACGAACAAAAAGGAAATTGCACGTTAGAATCCTGGAACATTTCAATGGTATTAAAAGAGGAAATATGAAACATTGTGTCCCTAGACACTGCTTAAATTGTCCCTATTTTAATTTCAAGGATTTTACATGTATAGGAATAGATTTGGTCACTCCCCATTGGAGAGGAGGGGATATTGAGAAAACCTTGGCCATGAAGGAAACCGAGTGGATCCATAGGTTAAAAACCTCCTCTCCTAATGGTTTAAATGTTGATATAGATTTATTAGTTTTTATGGATTGATGCAATTAATATTCCCCCGATTTTATTTAATTTCTCCTCCATATATACTATTTATTTTATTTATCTCCTTCGTTTGATATTCTTGCCATATATATATATATATATATATATATATATATAGATGTAAAAAAACAGATAAAATTCTTATCTTGTAATACCTTTTTTATTGGACTAACAGAATTTTTTAATGACAAGCTTTCGGGAGAACCTCCCTTTCTCAAGTCTGAAGCATTTCTGAGCAAAACGACACATACATATATATATATGTATATTTATTTATTTATTTTTTTACTATTTTATCATTCTTTGGTGCCTTTAACATGTTCCCCTATTTTAGAGGCCCCTATTAGGGGTAACCTTGTAAGGGGATATCTCTTTGAAAAGAAACAATTGGTTACTGTAAAAAGAGATGAAGTCTCTTTAAGAAAATGTTTATTTTTAACCTTTGCCTTTTAAATTCTCTTTGCATACAGATTGCTTGAAAATAGACTCACTACCAAAAGGATTTTTAATTATTTATTTCTGTGACGTATTTTTTCGGTTTATTAGTGATTTTTATTGTGTATTTTACTATGTCTTTGATGATCATATGTATAAATAAAGTTTGTTTTAAGTTTCCCGTGTGCATGTGCGGTAGCGTGTAGCGATCACGTGTGCCGCATTGTTCACAGGTGGATTGCAATAAAGTTGGTTTTGCGTGTCAGGATGGACTGGCGCGCATGCACGGCAACGTGTTTGCCATAAAGCGCATGCGCGCACCTGAAAGAAACGCGCGAAAATGAAGATTTAAAAAGACAGAAACAATCAAAGGAAATACAGCTCTTGAAAAAGTCTGACGGACAAAAAGCGTTGAGCAGAGGAGCAGAGGCTTGCCAGCACTTCCCAGAAAAAAGATTTAATTTTTTCTCTGCCTGGGACTTTCCATCCAGGAGGCATTGACAGTGGACTTACAAAAAGGAGCTGCATCCAGCAGTGTTGAAAAGCGTTTTTGCACAATTTGAGATATATGTCTCTTTGTGCCATCATTTTTGTGAGTGTATATTGTGATTTTTTTTCTGTA